CAGATAGGATTGGTAAGGCCAACAAAGTGCTGGTTTAAACCTGATCAAGGCTGATTCACCAGTAAACAAGATCTTCCCCAGCTGGAAGTCGAGGTACACAGATAAATCTGGCCAGTGTAAAATGAAAGGGAAATTCATTTCATTCATTCACGAAAAGGAAAGAATGAGAGTCTCAAATGTGCTTTTTCAAAAGGCAACTGAACTATGTTGTGGTTTTTTCCCCCTTGAGGAAGACATTTATCTTCTCATCCAAGATGTTTCTTCAGTTGTGGCAACCATGACCTGGATGACTGAGGATTTCCATAGAAAGAAGGGGAGATACTTTAGAACCTGAATTTTTGGCCTACAGAATAGGAACTCTGTATAGGAAGGCAGGCCCTAGTGGGAATTGGCAAAAAGTTTTAGTCAGTAGCCCATAAATCTTGATGATGTTGGCGATGAAGAAGATAGCAAAGATAGTATCCATAGCGATAGGAGCCTTGGGTGTAATCCTGAAACATCTGGAGCATTACCTGAACACCACTGACATTGATAAAATCACCACCAGTTAGAACAATTAACCAGTGGAACAACCTGCCTCCAGAAGCAATGAATGCTCCAACACTGGAAGTTTTTAAGAAGAGACTGGACAGTCATTTGTCTGAAATGGTATAGGGTTTCCTGCCTGAGCAGAGGGTTGGACTAGATGACCTCCAAGATCCCTTCCAACTTTATTATTATTATTATTATTATTATTATTATTATTATTATTATTATTATTATTATTATTATTATTATTATTATTATTATTATTATTATTATTATTATTATTATTATTATTATTATTATTAAGGCAATGGCAAAAACACTTCTAAAATCTTGCAAAGAAAACTGCAGGGACCCATCCAGGCCATTGCCAGGAGACAACACTGACTTGAACACACATACACACACACCATTCAGATATCTGAATGTCCAACCAAGACAACCGCATTTCAATCTAGCCAGGTGTACAAACCCAACTTGTATGATCAATTTCTAGATCAGTGGGTCATCTGAACCTAGAGAATTAGATTGGGAAACAAGAGCAGGGCTAACACAATTTAGGAGAGGGAGAACCACGTGCCGTTTTGGTTTACAAACTTAGGTTTATTCTTTAAAAAAATCCAACATAGACGATAAAGCAAAGCGTGATGTATGGACACGGTTGTCCCATATGAGAGTCATATGCATAATACAGTGGAGATTTTTTAAATTTAGTTCTAGCATCTAGAGAAGTTAAGCTATTAAATGTTGCCCAGTATAGCAAAATGAACCAAGATCTCCTCCTTGTGTCTAAAGATCAAATAATCACAAAATGTTAGCACAATATTTCTCTCTCTCTCTCTCTCTCTCTCTCTCTCTCTCTCTCTCTCTCTCTCTCTCTCTCTCTCTCTCTCTCTCTCTCTCCCTCTCCCTCTCCCTCTCCCTCTCCCTCTTTCTCTCTCTCTTTTTTTTAAAAAGAAGAATTCTTATTTTAAAATATATTAAATAAATCAAATGTGTGTCCTTCAGGTTGACTCCTTCAGGAGTTTTGGCACTTTTATTCTGAATCATAGTAACCCCCTCTGGGTTGAGTTTGAAGTCTATGACATTCCAAAACTAACAATAAACCTTAAAACCTTTCACAGATGTAAATCGTCAGGTTTTATTATGATAGCAAAGCACGGATTGTCTTGAAGCCTTCCAAAAGATCTTCTCAGTGGCATTTCCACCGTGCCATTCCATGTTTGCTTGAACTACTGTCTCTGCTAAAAGAACTTTACTTCTGGGTAAATAAGCATAGAATTGGACCCTTGGCATTTTAGAAAAAAATGTACTTTCCTTGCAGAAATCCCAAAGTTACAAATTGTTAATGGAGGATTAAGGACATCTAACATTTTGTAAACATCTCTTTTCTTCTCAAAGTTGAGAACAGCTTCAACTTCGCTTCCTCGCTTGACTGCATCGCTGAATCTTATGCAAAACCGTAACTTCCTCCACAATAATACGTTGCTTCATCCTCGGGCTGGACGTTGGTGATGATTAAATAGTGTGTGTTGTCTGATTTGAAGCCAGAGAACCGATTTGGGATCCCGTGGCCTCTGGAGTAATTGGACGTCAACACGAGTCGTGGTGCCTGCCCTGCTCTCTGTTGATACCACGAGATTGCATATTCCTCGTACCCAACCATCACGTCACAGGCAAGTCTTATTTTGTTCCCAAGAGCTGCAGATTGGAAAGGCGGTTGAACCAATCCAACCTGAGAAACAACACCTGGAATATATGAATTTTAAAGCTGTTACGTAAATGACAAGCAAGCAAGCAAGCAGAGAGTTCAACACACTCACAAGTTGACTCTTTTGAGAAACAACCGCAAAACGCCACCCGGATTCCTGAATAGGACCCACAACAATCTAACCCAGGACCTACCAAAGAGAACACCACTTCCACCAACAATGGCAGGACCAGTGCTGTATATAAACAAGGAGCAAACGCCACACTTGCTAGCACTGAAGACGTTACCTAGTTGGGTAATGAAATGTCGGCAAGCCAAGAGCCAAGCTCAGAGAGCACCCAGGACTCCGTAATCTAATGTGAATATACCCCAGAGGAGTCCCACACTATGTATCTATGTCTTACCTGTCCAGTAATTGAGAAACAGAAGGCAAAGCAAAATCTGCTCCATGTTCAATTTTCAAAGAGGAAGGCAGCTTTTTTAAAATAGACACCAATATGGAAGCTCTCCTTCTTTAAATTAAATCCGGAGTTACAGAATAACACTTTTATGCAAATCTGTCCTGTGCTCATAAGGTCTCAGGGGGATTGGTGACATCACTGCAGAAACAAAGACCAAACATGCATAGGTGGGGTAGTAGTAATTCTGGCTCTGTGTGTTTGTGTGTGTGTGTGTGTCTTCAAGTCAATCTTGACTCCTGGTGGTTGCCTGGACTAGCCCTTGCTCTTTTCTGGACAACATTTTCAAAAATGATTAGTCCTTGTAGTTTCTTACTCCATTGCTCCCTCTAGCTGGAAAGGGTCAACTGTGACTGGTGGCAACTTTCTAGAGCTTGGATGTGTGTGTGTGAATCTGTCTCTTCACTTAGAGACAAACCTTGGGGTGATATAACTGGGATGGTATAAGGCCTTGAGCAGGGGGTTGGACTAGAAGACCTCCAAGGTCCCTTCCAGCC